GAGCGCTTTTCCGTGCCATCCATCATCCCCGCTGAAAGCCCGTTGACGTCAACCCCGTCCCGTGCACGTTGGTCCCCGCCACTGGGGAAACGGGTGTAGGGACGGCAAAAGCCGGGGGTCCTGCCTGGGGAGGATTTGCCTCGGGGCCTCATCCTTGCACCGAGCAGCCCACGTAACACTGGCACTCACCTCTTCCCGGGCTTCCCGGTGCCTCCAGCCCGTGCTTCCTACATTGGTTTGGTTCCCCGCGATCCAGAGAGCCTGTTCTGCCCTCTGTGGTGTTTTGGGCAGGTGCTGTGGTCAGTTCTGTAAGGAAATCTGTTAAAGAACTGGTGAGGAAGAGTGAAATGATGCCCCGGAACGGGCAGAGGGCCCTGCGCTGCTCTCTGCTTACTATAACTGGGGTTACAGTAAATGGGGAGAAGCCCGAGGGCAGTGTGGGCATCGCTCATCCCCCGCAGCGGGCAAGCACCCGGACGGGCATGGCCCCAGCTGGCCACTGTGTCCGCTGAGCTGCTGCGGCACGATGGCCGCTCTGCACCTCGACAGGGTCCCCCCAGAGCCTGGGCCACCGCGGGGATGCTCACACTGAGCTGCAGAGTTGTCCCTGGGGGAGGTGGTGACCATGTCAGGGTCGGTGGTGGCCAGTGCCCGCTCCCAGGGGTCCGGGAAGCATCGCGAGGGGTCTTTGGAGGCTGAGCAAAACAATTAACCCTGGGCTGAATTGCATCACTCGGCGCACAGGGAACATCCCGTGGGGCTGCGCTGCTTATTTCATTAGTGTGCTGAGAGCAGGAGCCTCCCCGAGCAGTGCAGTGGCTGCTCCCGCGCCTCTCACCTCCAGCCCCAGTTTAGACGTGTGCCCGTTTCTTTTTACATCAACACCTCTTGAAAGCCAGCCCTTCTGCTGTGCTTTAGCATCTCTCCCGAAGAGCGATGTACCTTCGCCGACATCCCTTTGCGAGGGCACGTCCTGCTGCCTCCCACGTCCCGCTGCTCCTCTCCGCGGGCACGGCACTCCCGAGCTCTCGCTTTGTCCCCGTTCCAGCCCCGTCTTCGCAGCACCGGTCTCAATAGCCTTTGTGGGACATGGACAGAGGATGAGATCGTGGTGTCTTGGTCTGCCCTTTGCACTCCAAACTGGGAGGCAAATCCCTGCCGGCTTCCCCCACACACCCCAGGTCTGTCCTCCCACAGCTTCTGCTGCCCCTCGAGCTCGGCCCATGCGGATCGGGCCCTTCGTGGGCTCATGCCTGCTCTCGCTGCGCCGCAGCCCTCTGGGAAGCATCACTTTGATGCAAGATGCAGTTTAAGGTTATGAAAATGCCTCATTTTCCTGCTTATTAAAACCCAAGCCGTGCGGCATCATCTCCTTGCATTCATTTCAATGCACTTAAAATGTTTTGTCACAGCATCTCAAATAGCGGGGAAACAGGCTCATTTAGTAATTATTTTAAAGTGATTTAGAAGAGGATTGACAGCCCTGCTGACACACCGCGCTCGCTGCCTGCCGGGTTCAGCGGCTCCCGCCTGCCCCGGGATGCTGTGTCCCACCACGGAGGGATCACGGTGGGAACCTCCCCGTGGTCCCTGTCCTTCCTGCAGCCAAAGGGACTCCCAGAACCGGAGGTCTCTCAGCCTGCAAAGAGTGAATCACACCTATTTTTGTTGCTGGGTGGTGGAACGATGCGAGAGCATTTGGTCTTCGCCTCAGGGATGCTCCTGCATTGCCCCTCTCCCCGGCCAAGGCAATGTGCTCCGGTGAGCGGTACCTCACTGGGAGCAGCCACTCCATCGCCCCATCGGCCCGTCCTCCCGCTGTGCTGGTATGCGGGATACCAGCTGGATGCGGGTACCAACGCTGGCCCAGAAGAGCTGCCCCGGCTCCCCTCGCCAGGTCGGGCACAGACCGCGGCAGAGCGATGGGTGTTTGCCGCGGGCAGTGCCAGGCTCCCACCATCTCTTGGCATCGCTCCGGCTCACAGGAGTCTTCCTACGGCAAGCAAGTTTTCTGCTGATCCCTTAAGAAGCTTTGCTAGAATAGTGCAGTCTTGGCACTTAAAAAGCAACTTTTTTTTTTTTTTTCTGCAAACAGCCTGCCTCCCCACCCGGCTCCCGCTGGGCTCTTTTTTGGCGAGCGGGGACCCGCGGGCTGGATGCGGCCGGGCAGGGTGGATGGGACCCAGCGAGCTGCGGTCTGGGCCGCTGGCCGCAGGCTCTCACGGGGTCACGTTCGCCGTTCCGCTGCTGGACACGGAGCTGGGGGCACCCACAGGGAGCGTGGGTGGGTTTGGTCGCCCATCCTGGAGATGCAGGGCTGGCAGCTTGGTCCTGGGGAGCCAAATACGGGGCCGTAGCGTTGGGCACATCTGCTGTGAGCGGGCTTGGGCGACCGGGGGCAGAAGATGGTCAGATTTGAACCCGATGGGACTTCACAACTCTTGCCCCGTGTGGGATACA